CCATGTGTAGGATATAGTAATGACATAGAAGCCATCAGGTGGAACTACAGTGCATAGTGGGGAAGCAGGCATCCACCATACCTGAAGTGTGTCTTATGCTAAGACTCCAGTCACACTTGTCAATGGGACCGGATTGCACAAGTCTCACAAATTTCTCTGCAAGAATCCTGTGATTAGCCATGACAACATTAGAACTCATTTCCATTAATTGCATTTTCCAGGGCAGGCAAAATGCAGAAAAGTCTGGTGTGAATATGTCCTTGGGGCACATAACACATATGTTTTAATGTGTGGTACAACAGTGTGGGGTATATGCATTATGGAGTCCGCCCCCATTGCAGATACATACCCAACACAACATGTTCAATATAAAAAAAAAAAAAAGTATTGCTTCATGGTATGCGAGAAAAAATAAATAAAGTCAGCAATTTTTTTGTAGGTGGACATATTGAGGGTGCATAAGAGTCCACTCAACACAATGCACAAACAAGTGTGAATGGGCCATTAACATTAACACTATGCAACATGTCTAAAATTCACAGTAATGCATCCACTTTGTCTACATGCATGTCATTTCTGGAAGCTGGCTTCCTGATGACAATGACAGAACATGGCTGTGCAGAGCAGCCTATAGCCTCCAGTGGGTGTGTATGTGACAATGCATGACAGTAATTGGAATACAAAGGACAGAGTGTTGTCACACTATAACAGAAAGGACCTTTATAGGAGGATCACTGGGTGTTATTAAAGCGGACCTTTACCCAATGTCTTTAAAATAACAACAAAACACACCTTTAGAAATGTTTAGTAATGACAATCTACAAACACATACTTCTAGATAATTGCAGGCTTTGTATTCTTTGCATACCTTATTTCTCTTGTCTTCCACCAGTCTTCTGATGGTGGCCATGTTTACTTAGGGTGGATTACTAGCTCTCCTTTTACTTTATGGATTATTGGCACATGTGACTGGACATGTGACCATGCATATCATCTCAGGGAAGGAAAATGCCTTTCCCTGAGATCTGCTGAGACTACAGATGAGATTTCCCAGCAATGCTCCGATGATGACAAGGCAATCCCAGTGTGCATTGCTTTGGCAGACTGAAGTCATTTTGCCCTTTTAAAGCAGGAAGTGAATGCTCTGCAAGTGTAAGTATTTCAGAATCACAACATTTTACACCTGACATGTCTGTGTTATTATTAAGCATCATACATAGGAGGGATGCATTGGTAGAATTTGATCCTTGTGTAAAGGTCCGCTTTAAGTAAACACTGCAGATTTATCAACATTGAAAATTACTTTTAAAATGTCATAAAAGGATCTAAAGCTGAACCTTTATTTTTTAGATTCAGGGCATGAAAGTGTTAAAAGCCCTGCCAGGTTTACATTGCTGTCTCTGCAGGGGAGATTCACCCCATTTTTCTTGGTGACCATTGTCCCCATAACCGAGAGTTGATTGTCGGCTTTAGATGCTTTAAAGCCCAAGTGAACCTTAAGTTTAAGGGCCCATTCACACCATGTCTGGGTCATCTCCAGACCAGACTGTTTCCGGACCCAAAATGTATCCTAAATTTAGCCCTATACTATTTCTGGCCTCTGTTCGCACCAGCGCAGTTCGTTGCGGACCAGCCCAGAAAAATAATGCATGGAATGCACTGGAACTCATACAAAACGCACCTGTAAGACCATTTTAAGCTGCTTCTGCAAAAAGAAAAATGTTCAAGCGCGACAAAAACGCAATGCACTGCGTTCCAGATCTGGTCCGGAAAATGGTGTGAACCTGCCCTAAGGCTAGGTTCACACTGTTTTCCGGACCAGATCTGGAACGCGGTACATTGTGTTTTGCTGCTTTTTTTTACAATTTTTTTCTTTTCGCTTAAAATTGGTTTTTCTGGTGCGGTCCAGTGCACTTGCATGCATTTTTGATGCGTTACAGTGCATTCCAGACCAGACAAAATGAGACATGCAGTATTTTTCTGGTCTGATCTGGAACTGACTGAGCTGGTGTGAACAGGAGCCAGGAATAGCATAGGGATACATTAGAATACATTTTAGGTCCAGAAACAATCTGGTCTGGCGATGATCTGGATGTGGTGTGACCGGGGTCCTTAATCAGCTAAATACGTTAAACATATTTTGTTTTGATACATTTGGAATGTATTACGGTTTGTTTTCTCAAGAAAGTAGCAAATGTCTGAATAGAAAAACCAGCATACTTCAGAGAAGGACCCGTGCGGTCAGTGGGGAAGCAGTGATCTCTCTGCAGTGGGAGGACATACCCCCTGCTATAGCAGAGATTGAAGACCTATAGGTATGACTAAGCAGGGAATGTACTTAGCTGATTAAACTGAACATTCAGTTGGGCTGTAACATGTTAAATAGGAACTCAACCCGTTCTGGGGTTTTTTTCCCCCGCTCTTTGCTTTCTCTCTGGATTGCCTACAAAAAAAAAAACATACTCACACTCCCAACAAAGCCAGCGCTGTTCTGAAGTGACCTGCTGCTGCACACCAGGTCCCACACTGCTATTCTCTTTTCTTGCGTCATTGAGTGCTGGCTGTCTCCGGCTGGTTCTTGCAGCCAGCCCCTCAAGCGCCATGGAAAGTCATCATTAATGTCCATGTCCCATCGCACTCTTGACCGGTAAGTCCCTTTAAAAAAGGTGGGTGCAGCAGTGACAAACGGATGGTGCCGCTCAATAGAAGAAAAGAAGGGGTCACTGGCACTCCAGTATACTGATCAATACAATTATACTGAGCATGCATCAATAACACAGAACATGATGTTTCAGGGCCTCGCAGGGTCCCCTTACCCTACAGTAATGACTGTTCTGCCTGATGAAGGGGACCCTGTGGGGGCCCTGAAACGTGTTATGTGGTACTGAGCATGCATCATTAAAGGAGTACTGATCAGCATACTGGAGTGCCAGTGACCATTTTTCTTTTATGGAAAGTGTTAATGGGCCCTTATGGGGCTTGCCACGGCCCATGCATATGCAGTAGATTGACCCAAAGCCTCCAGGGATTTGGGAAATAAGTCAAACATGTGAAGCATAAAACTGGATATTTACAAAAAAAAACAGAAAAAAAAGTCTATGATTGTGTGAAAGGAGGAGGTAATTTAATGAAATGTGGGTAAGAGACACTGAGACCTTTATCTACATCATTTGGAGCATTTACTACATATTTGGGATGCCATTCGCCTGCGCACTGCACTTTGTTTTGAGTTTTACAATGCCAGCATCCTGTGGTGTGAGTGAGGTACGGATGTGTATGGAGTAGTGCGATTCTATCAGTTGACAATGTTGTAAGCAATGTTCTAATACGACACATGGGGAAGTTATTTTGTATGGAACTGCTAGTTATTTCTCGTGGATGTTGCAAAATAAAAGGCTACTGTGTTATGCAGTCAAGCTTCATTGCTGTCCTTTTCGTTATCCTTTTTCTCATGTATAGCCCTAGCCTGAGCATCCCTGCACCTCATATGGAAAGTGTGAGCAGTTTGTTGTAAAGCTAGAAAAACCTTTGTAGCTGGCCATGCCTCATATCATCAGACATCTGTAAAGCTGGCCATACACCTGTAGACAATACACAAAAATGTTTTAATGGATAATGGTCTAGTTTTGTTTTGACGAGTGATGAGGAAAATGGAAGGAGCAGGATGGAAATGTTTTCTTGTTTCTTATCTGAACTAGAGATGAGGCTGGACTTGATTTAAATCCAGTTTACCTGAGTTTCTCCAAGCCCGCTCAAAACTCTGACTACCAACCCAATCGGTTGCAAAAAAGGCACATTCCCCGCCATTCAGCTATATGTCACAAATGGTTGAAGCTCCTGCCGCAACTTCTGACACCGATTGGTTCGGGAGGAGGGAGTGGCGGTCACAGTTTTGAGTGGCCTTGGGTGAATTGGGTATGTATTGGGTCCTCATTCAATTACCGACATCGATTGGTTCGGAAGGAAGGAGTGGCGGTCACAGTTTTAATTTGGCTTGGGCGAATTAGGTTTGCACTAGGGATGCACCGATACTGGTTTTTCCGTATCGAGTACCGTTATTTATATTTTGGTACTCACCGATACCAGTACTTCTGGTAGCATGGAGCCGGCTTCCCGGGCAACCAGGAAGATGGGCAGCGAGTCATTACCCGCTGCCCAGCTTCTTTATTGCCTGGGAAGCCAGCTCCATGCTGATTGGCTGGGAAGCCCGCTTCCCAGCCAATCAGCATCGAGTTGGCTATTTGGCACTTCTGGGCTTTGTGGTCCATGGGCAGAAAGCTCTAGACGCCTGCGCAGTCTGCTGGCCCTGCAATCTAGCCGGTGACATCACAATCGACCAGAATCCGAAGATGCACGGGGAGAGCTGTCAGTGCACGGCTGGTGAGTACTGCACCCTGCTATAGGGGGTGCCACTCTGCACACTCCGCCTGCATTGCTTGCTTAATGGCCAAATAGCATGGAGCCGGCTTCCCGGCCAATCTTCATTTGCCAGGAAGACGGCTCCATGTTTCCTTGCAGCACTGCCGGTCAGAGGAAATCTCCGTCTGACAGGAAGTTCCGACAATGGAATAAGTATTGGAGCATTTGGGCAAGTACGAGTACCGGTATCGGTGCATCCCTAGTTTGTACCAAGCCCAGACTCCTCTCTAATCTTAATGAATGAAGGAAATTCTAACTGTGATTTCTATTCAGTATAAATTGTATAGATTGTAATGCAGATGTGCCAGGCATTAAACAAATGTGTGGACCCATCAGCTCCTGTACCCAACCAGATGCAGTCACTGTTCAGGTATTTTGGCAGCTAGTGGTGCCGACTATCCATATACAATAACGACAGCAGGAAAGTCCTTCATCCACCATCCAGATGGTGTGAATGGGCCCTTAATGGCTTTCAAAAGAAATGAATTGACTGGACGATAAAAAGGAATGATCTGATGAACAATATTCTAGCAGTGTATGAGCAGCCGCTCGTCTGCACCGGAATTGTGCCCTGTACTTACCGATGCCGAGTCCCACCACCACACGCCCCCCGAGCAGGGTCTCCTTGTCCGGGGATGCCGCCAGCAGCACCGCTCCCGCTATGAACAGCAGGCTGGCCAGCAGGATACACGGTCTGCGCCCCAGCGATCCATTCAGCACCCCGCCTGCCAGAGCCGACACCGCCGCCGCCCCGACCGTACTGGACACTAGCAGCTCCTGCCACAGCGCCGACAGGTTCATGTCCTTCTTGAGCAGCAGCATGGCCCCGGACACCACCCCGGTGTCATAGCCGAAGAGGAAGCCTCCCAGGGCTGAGAACACAGACACCACGTATACAAAAGCCGGGGTGACATCCTGCTGGAACTGCCTGCGGGCCGCCCGCTCCAGATCACCGCCCGAGGACGACGGCCCGGCTGCCCCCGAGCCTCCAGTGCCCTGGCTGTTAATGCTGGTAGAAGAGTCGGCGGCGATCAGGCTCCTCTCCCCGGCTCCCTCGTCCTGCTTCCTTCTCTTCTTCTCCCCCATCAGGTTGCTCAGGCTCCGCAGGGTGTACTCCACATTGTCGCTGGCTTTGCGGGACATAGGTGGCAGGGAGGGTGGCAGCCGGAGTACCGGGTCAGTGCTGAGGCCGTTGCAGTTGAAGAGCCCAGGTCATACGTGTGGTGCTCGGCGCCTTCTCCCCGGTCACAGCCTAGAGGACGCCCTCGGAATCGGGGCTCAACATGCTACTTTGTTGCCACTTTGTGCATCTTCCATCCAGGTGGGATGAGTGGACTCTGAACACACAGCGATCGCAGACACAGCCAGCAGGGGCGGGCGCAGCCACTCACTGCACGGGAGAGCAACGCTGTCAAACTGGAGGGGCGGGGCTGGCCTGGTCACATGACAGGCGGCAGCTGATTCTCTGACGTCACTGGGAGCCTTCAGAGGTGTTTTCGCCTGTAGTCAGTAGGCTTTTCATATCTATGTACTCTGCACATCCGGGAGCGGCTGATCCTGGAATAATGAGAGCGATCAGACATTATATAATGATCAAACCCGAGCGAGCGAGGAGCTCTAATACATAAGTGGAGTACAGCTGTACTCCACTTATGTATTAGAGCGGACCTTCACTCCTACTAAATACATCATCCCTGCAAGCTGAAAAGACCATTTCTATTTTTCTTGTTTTCATTTTTTAAGCTGTTTACACAAAAATAAATAGAGCTCTTTTGCTTAATTCTCGAATATTTAATGGAGTCACGTCGATGATCATTTTTGCACGTAGTGATGAGAACTCTAATGGCACTTCGTTAGAAAAAAATACCTTTTGTTCAATTATCAAATAGTGGGGTCAAATCGATGATCATCTAACACAAATAGGATTTCATTAGGAAAAAATCATTTTTGTTCAATTGTCAAACAATAAATGGGGTCAAATCGCTAGAAATGAAATTTGAACAGTAAAGGTGGCTATACACTGTTCTACTTTTTTCATCAACCCACGGGCTGCACAAAAGAAAAAGAACAGATTCCTCCATTAATGCTTACAAATGCTGATGAATGAATCCCCTGCTGCCTCCTCCGTATGCTGGCAGCCGCTATCAGAATACACAAACAGTGCTTGCAGCCAGGGATGTCCCGATACTAGCATTGGTATTTCGATACTTGTACCTGTGAAAATGCCCTGTTACATTGCGCCGATGCTTGCGCTGGTTTTTTTTTTGTAGCTTCAGGCTGCCCAGAGGTATTGGGGTCCTCTGCGCAGTCTGCCGGCCAGCTAAATTAGGACCCCCACCTTGAGCGCGCCCACCAGACCAGCACAGACGCGCCACTGCTCTCCCGCCCAGCGATGACTATGAGAGGTTGCATAAGGCACATCGCCAGGCACCTCATGAGGCACCATGGATCAAACATCCCTCATCGACCAGTAAGTGAGAAGGGGCCTGTGCTGGGTTTAGAAGTGGGAGTGTAAAGAAGCAGGGGATAATTGTAGATCTATTGTCTGCAATGTATTGGGATTGTGTACTGTATATGTACTACATATACAGTACACTGCAGCAATAGATTTACAATTCTCCCCTGCTAATATGAATAGGATAAATGATCCATAGTACATAATATGTAGTTGTACTATGAATCATGATTTAACCTATTCATGTCAGCAGGGGTGAATTTTAACTCTATTGGTGCAGACTGCAGTGTACGGGACATGTGTGCTGTATATGTGCTATGGATCATGTTTTAACCTATTCATGTTAGCAGGGGAGAATTGTGAGCGCCTCCCACAAGCTGAGCACCGAGACGCGATGCAGCGTTCCTGCCCAGCGCCAACTACGAGAGGCACCGCGTGAGGCAACAGGGATCAGATTGAAACTGTGAGTGAGGGAAGCTGAGACAGGGCTGGCTGTAAATCTATTGCTACAGTGTACTGGAAGTGTGTACTGTATATGTAGTACATAGATACAGCACACACTACAGTACACTGCAGTAATTTTGAACGACAGTCATCAATACTCCGATGACATAATGGAATGTACTGACCAGATTTTTTGTATGAACGTTCATATGAAAATTTAACAGTGTATTCAGTTACAACCACGCTTTATGTATTTGCACATACCTTCCTGAGACTTGTCTGTACGGGCAGTATGACAACCTACTAACTTGGTGATATTCACAGATAGTGTCCAACTCGATAAGTCTGACTCCAATTTAGAATCCAATTTAGTTTATTTACCATCTCAATACAGAGGATGTGATTCCTTGTCATTCTTAGAGTGAAAAGACATTCCTATCTTTGCCATTCACAGGATAACATAGACACCCTTACCTCTCCGAGGGTGATGTGGAAAGGAGAGAGTAGAAGGATTACTGAGAAGTTTTAGCAGAAGACTGTACAAATATACAGAACACAGCAGGGGTGAAATGGAAGATGCCAAGTGTGCACAGATTAAGCTGTAACAATGCAAATCTTACACTTGTAGTTAGAAATACAGCACAACACAATGAAATGCAATTATATAGGTATGCAGTGTAACTGAAACAGCAGAAATAATAAAAGACATTGGATGTGGCAGCACACAGTGTATGGCCAGCTTTAAAGTGACACTAAACTCAGGAATAAAATCTTAAAAATTCAGTCAAGTACCTGAAGTATTAACAAAAATGTATCTTATTTGTGAATCACTCAGCTGTAGATCCTCAAATCAACTCTGAGGGCCTGTTCACACTAGTTGCAGTGCGTTCTGGCCCGATTCTGGCCAGAACGCACTGCCTCGCATTGCGGCCGGCTCACTTTTTAGTGGGGCAGGAGTGGGCGTGGTGGGCCATTGGAGTGAATGCCACTGTAGCCACGCCCTCCGGCCGCAATGCGATCGGCCGCACGGAATCACAAGGCACATTATACCTGCGGTCTGGTCTGGTCTGATGCGATCGAAATAGTGCTTTCAGCATTTTGATCGCACCGGACCGCAGGCATAATGTGCCTTGCGATCCCGTGCAGCCGATCACATTGCGGCCGGAGGGCGTGACTAGGGTGCCATTCACTTGAATGGCCCGCCCCGCCCCCTCCTGCCCCCACCA